CGCGCGCGCGCGCGCGTGCCTTCTTCTTCTTCTTCTCTCGTGATTCTGCCGTTGCCGAAGGATCTTGCAACCTTTCCCTATTTTTTAAGTCCCTATCTTTATTTGACAACCCGGCCAGATCTTAAGATGTTGTGTGGTGATGGAGCCATGGTGATAGTGGCAAGGGCGGTGTGGGTCAAAGTTGGAGCAGCGCCACAACCAAGGCCAAGAAGCAAAAGGTGTTGAATGCCATTAAGGGGAAAGGGTTTCCCTCCTCCACCAAGCCCAAGCACTTGAAGGAGCTCGTGGCGGATGGATTCTTGCCCTAGAAGGATACACTCCCATGGTCTCCGTCAAAGAAAGGAGAGGCGATGCCCGCTCCCATAGGCCAGGACCGGGTGGGCCACACGCGTTCATACACAGGGGACTACCTCTACCTCTCCACAAGTTCGTCTGCGGCCTCCTTCACTTCTATAGGCTCCAACTCCACCACCTCACCCCTAACGGGGTTCTCCATATGGCGAACTTCATCATGCTTTGTGAGTGCTTTCTGGCGATGGAGCCTCACTTTGAGTTGTGGAGGTACTTCTTCCAGGTTAACATCCAGAAGAATGGCAAGGCTGAGGCGCAAACATCTAGTTAAAGTACATTGAATTAATCAGGTGAACAACTTCGCACACAACTAATTCTGATGAATCATCGGTGATGGTACCAATTATAGCACACGATTATGGGAGCATATCGCGTGCCTTTGGCATGCAGGATGCACCGAGCTGGAATATGTGGGCATGCCCCATCATTGCACTCTACTATATTCCATGAACATTATGCTACTCATCACACACAATTTGCTTCCTCAAATAGTTTCCTCCAAGGCAAGAGTGTGCACCATATCACACACGGTTCAGCTAAGCCAATCATGTGCGATGGATCATGGATCGCACACGGCTCATTTTTTAAGCTAACATAGCTTCAAAAATGCTCTTATATTATAGCACAGAGGGAGTATGACCAACGGATCTACACTAGTGAAGCCAGATTACAGTAGTGTGGTTGTCCTGCTGGGGAGTCTGCTTCAGTTAGCCCACTTCTAAATAACCAAAAAAATATTAGCACACTTGCAATGTCACATGGACGATTCACCATGTGATAAAAAAATTACTCCCTTCGATTCGTATTAATTTTCGCAGTTTTAGTACAACAGCACAAAGCTGAGACAATTAATATGAATTGAAAGGGGTACTACTATTTTTAAGTTAGCAACAGGCAGTCTACTACGCTGCCCTGCGCTGCTATTCCTGCCTATAAATTGAGAACTTGGGGGACGCAACAAGCACCACTCAGCTCTCCAGCTTAGCCTTACAATCAAGAGAGGGGAAAGAAGCATTAGGGAAGAAAATCAATGTCTGCGACAAAGGGAGATGTGCGGACGAGCAGCAGAGAGGTCGGTAAAGGTTACGCCGTGGACTATCCGCCCAGCGTGTGGGGTGACTATTTCATCAAGAACCCCACGCTGCCACATACTCATGAGGTACACACACATGTTCTGTCAGTCGTACATTCATACTCATGCGTACAGTATTTACTTGATTCATTAAAATTATCGCAGGACGCTTTTAGGTGGGTACAAATATTATTTTACATAGGAAACCAAGCGAAAACTAGAGGAGAAAATGGCCGTACTCTATACGGTGAGATGGACATTTTAATCTCCCGTCAAAAAAAAAGATGGACAGTTTAAGCTAGAGGAATAAATTCATTCAACCGGCGGGAGATACATGTCTGGCGGGCGGAAGGCACTCTGGCCATCACCGCGGCGCCGCGGCCGAATCAACGTGAGCACGACAGGGCCTAATCCTCAACTTTGCTGGCGAGCTCCGTGTCTGTTGACTCATTACGACTTCAGTTTTTTTTTCTCCTGATTTTCTCTTACCCTTACCGTTCATACTCCAGGTCCAAAAGATACGGTCGATTATGTCTGCTTCTAATTTTTATATTGTTGGCTCACATGGTTTCTTGGCCTAGATCCGAATTTCCCATACATGTTGAAGACAGAGGGAATCACGATGTGTCAGTCGGCATAGATAAATCGTCGTGGGCTGATCGCCTGATCCTGACACATGTCTGCGTAACCATCAAACAGTTCGCAGCTAAGTCGCGCCGTACAGCTTGGTTACGAACGTTCACGCGTGATAAACCCCATAAATAAATAGCTCCCCATGGCTGGAGCAACCATTCGCTACTCTTAACATAAGGGAATCACGATCCTACGATTTATCTTTCACTACTATTATCATCACAATTTGGCATTCCTTCAAAATTCTGTAGTTACTTGTTATTTTGTTTTTCAATCGTTCTTACCTTTTTTGGACAAGTAGTAGTATCCTACTCATAGGAGCCAAATAGCATTTCTATACAATAAATTTTACAATATACAAAAATATCCACATTTTATTACTTCCTTCGATTCATATTAGTTGTCACTCGGGCGCACTTTCTGTCACCTGGCAGTGGCGCCGCCCCGATCCGGATCTGGAGTTCTGACTTCATCACGCTCGTCCTGGAGACCTCATGGTGAGAGTTGCCTGGCGAAAGCTCCACGCTTTCGCACTGACGATGGCGACGCTCGCGGGCGTCGTTATCTTCTTAAAGACATCATCGTGGTGCTCCTCTCCGTGCATGAATTTCGTGTGAGAACCTGTGTCTACGTTGTGGGCTCGACAATGGCGACGCTTGGCGCCGTTCTTCCTCCTGGGGGCGTTGTCATGGAGCTTATGGGTTATAGGGCGTAGTCCGGCATTGTTATCAGTTCTTCATAAGCTCTTTCTCGGTAGCGTAGTCACGTGTGTCTTGCGTGATCCGGCATATTGGGATTGACATTGTATGAGGGATACCTGCTCACCTTGTATTGTTCAATCGTATACTCGGTTGGTTGTTGATTTATATACATAAAGTGGTTTCAACATATTAGTTGTCCTTGAAATGGATGTATCTAAACGTATTTCAATATTAGATACATCCGTTTGAGCGACAACTAATTTAGATATGCGAAATTAGTATTATTTCAGAAAGATCATTATATGATATACTATCTTCTAAAACTAGCAAAGCTAGCTAGTGTCACGTAAAATAATGTTGCTTCTATTCCAGATGTCCGTGGAATGGATGATAGAAAGACGTGACAAACTTGTCATCGAAGCAAGGGAGATGTTACTCGCTACATGCAGTCCGTTTGCTGAAATGAAGATGATTGATGCACTTCAGCGTCTTGGGGTTTCTTACCATCTTGAAGAGGAGATCAACATGAAACTGCAAAAACTTTTGTTTCGAGAATTCGACACAGACTGTTTCCATGAAATCTCACTTCAGTTCAGGTTGTTAAGGCAAGGACGTTGCTACATGTCTTGCGGTAATGTTTTGCATTTCTCTCTCATTTATTTTACTTTGGAGATATTATAATCTATGCAGTCAAATTGGCTGGGATTCTATATGGTACGTAGGTATGTTTTGTAACCTTTGAAAAAAATGGTGGCTGTATATGGTACGTACGTAGGTACGTTTTGTAACCTTTGAACAAAGCACCAAATTGTTCTTCCCGATTATTGTAGATATCTGCAGATATGTAGGAATCAGCTTTACTCGTTCCCGACTGCATCCCCTAACTAACCGTATGCCTCAAACTCAACCTCAACCTCAACCTCAACCCGTAATTACTCTCTGTAAAAACTCCCCGTAGGTGTAGCAATACTCTTTCTTGTTCGTATATGGTTATACTGCAAAACAAATATGCTGCTGTTGTGGGTCCCACCTCTGCATTGGCCTATGGAAACGACACCTGTCAGGTGCGCATGTGTTCCACAGCCCGGACGCGGGTTGATACCTGCCCGATTCGTCGGGCGTGCCCGCAGGACGTTGTAGGTCCGAAAATCTGCCTCGTTCGAAATACTGCATGAGGTTTTTTAACATATGCTTCCTCTTACCTTCTCTTTTCATATAAGAGGTAAGAGTATAAATTAGATTTGATCCGTTGATTGCATTGAGTAGTGGGTTTGATTAACTCTTAACTTTTTACCACCCATGTGAAAAGAGGGGGCAAGAGGGAGCATGTTAAAATTGCTCTGCATTGCATAGTATTTTGAATCAGTTATTGCGCATACACAAAGTTGTCACGAACTTGTGCACTAGTCATTTTACTACAGGAAAATCACACGCTGCCGTTATTACCATGCAAGCCGAGTGTCAAGACATAAGTATTCAACTTACATCCTCATAAGCCGAGTCAGTTCCGTCGAACTCATGGGGGAAAACGAGTACTCGGCGTACATCCACATAAGCCAAGAGGCTCACTGCAAAGTTCTCGGTGTATAAGGAAAAAGACACTCCCCACAAAAAGAGGAAAAAGACACTCACTTACAGCCACATTTTGGCAAAAGCTTCTGCCACATTACGGCTACCGATGGGCACTCGGCTTATTACACATAAGCCATGAACCACGTGGGACACTTGGCTTATTCCATGGTACGGTTTACACATTAACCTTGTGTCAGCTAGGGTGCACGGCTGCCGGCTGAAACTCAGCTTATGTTTAAGCCGTCAACCACGGTTGACACACGGCTTATGTGTACCCATGTTGGCGTGCGGGCACATGGCTTAGTGTAACTCTCGACTTACAAATGTGTCACATAGAAACCTCCGTTAGGTGCCGCAGGCCGTGAACTCCCTTTTTTCGCCGGGAGCCACATTGTTCTATACTCGGCTTACATATAAGCTGAGTACTCATGAAGTGACATTTGTCTTACAAGGCATAAGCCAACCGGAATGTCACCGACTAATATAAACCGAGTGTGAAACTTGGCTTATTGTTTGCCGAGGTTAAATTGGTCTTCGCCGGGTATTTTTCATACTCGGCTTCATATATTTTTCCAGTAGTGTTTACTGTAGGCATTTCTGTATTCTAAATAAAAAAGTAGGTGTTTTTTTCATCTCTTGTCTGAACATTCCTTCCTGCTACATGTGCACAAGTTCCCTAGAACACACCAAGAAACGAGCAATATAGCAGTCTGCAAGAAACAAAGAAAGGAAAAACACCGAAGGAAAAAACGACATGGAATTGTTATTTGTCAATAATGAGTTGTTTCCACTATAGTAAGCCTAGCATTTGTTTGTCTAACCAAACCGTCGAGCTAATATATTCATGTTTTCCACAAGTATTTCATTGTGACCATTTTCATTGTTATCAGATGTATTCAAAAGCTTCGTGAACAGCCAAGGATGTTTGAAAGCCTCTATTCAAAGTGATCCACAAGCTCTGCTTGCACCCTATGAGGCAACTTTTCTCCGCACTCCAAACGAAAGTTTTCTCCATGAGGCCCAAGAGCAGACAACAAGTCTTTTGAGATCAATTGTTGACCATCTAGAAAAACCACTTGGGGATGAAGTCAGACATGTTCTTAAGACACCATCTTTTCGTAGGATGAAAAGGCTGGAGGCTAGGCTATATATCCCTCTTTACCAAGAAAATAAGGAGTGTAGTGGAATGCTACTTGAACTTGCGAAACTGGATTTCTATTTGCTCCAACGCATTCATCGACAAGAAGTCAAGGAAATATGCGAGTAAGCAAATTATCCTATGGGAAGTTAATAACAATAAATTTTATTTCAATTTCGTCTGCGTAGTTTAGGCTTTAGGGAATCGCTAGGCATATGTAATTAGCCTAATGATTCTGCACAAATAAATGCAAATTAGCTAACAAACTTTATTCCTCATGAAGGTGGTATTATGGACTGGATTCCCCCAAAAAATTATTCTACGCAAGGCACAGGCAAGTGGAAACATACATGTGGGTGCTTGGAATATGCTATGAACCACAATATGCGAAAACTAGAATATTGTTTACAAAATATACATCAACTATGACACCATGTGATGACACTTTTGACAACTATGGTGTGTGGGAAGAGCTACAACCTTTCGTCGATGTGGTGCAAAGGTTTGTTAATATTTTAGAAAGTGTGCAGCAAAACATTCCATCTTCAATGAATAACATTTAACATGAATATTAGTTATGTAGCAATGGCACTCTTGAATTTTTTTTCAAAAAAATAGTTTTGTCCTTAATGTTATAATGGCATATCCAAATATAAACTAATTTCTATGTGAGAAAAAGTAAGCTTGACAGAAATGAAGGAAAAACAATTATTGCCTTCCATGATACTTTTAAATTATTTTAATTGAATTAATTGCTAATATTTTTAATTAGTCCAAATGTGAAATGCATAATTTTGATACTTACAAAATAAACATCATTATTGTAGGTGGAACATGGAGGACCTTGGGCAACTGAAAGAATGCTACCAGGACTTTGCCCGTTTTATCTTCGGTACCATGATTGAAATTGAGAATGCACTTCCAATAGAGACAGCAAGCAGGGATATTAAATTATTAAGAGATTTGGTAATTTCTAGTTAAATCCATAATTTGTATTGCAATCAATGCATCTTTTCAGTGTTAATCTGAATTTTCAATGTCGACTGTATAGGAAAAACCATATTGTGGCTGGTACCTATAATAAAATTGAGAAATTAAACTAGAGTGAAACTTTTTCATATAACTTAGATGAAATGCTTTCATTTGGTATAATTATATATACTCATATGAAACACTCCTTTCTATCAATATTAATTGTCAGGCATACTTCTTTGTCCCAAAATAATAATACGAAGTTATTGCATGCTTTTCTATTTTTCTATCCTTATGAACTTATCAGAGAAAACATCATGTCACCACCTTGAATGCTTTTCCGGTATAGAAGTTAGATCATTTGACCCTGTCTATTCTCAGAATTAAAGTTCCTTAACCCATGTTGACAGTTACAATGTTCCTTCTAATGGATACTAGCTATAATCTAGTGTAACACGTAGCCAATTGAATTAAATATAATTAATAGTTTTATTTATTTATATAAAGACCATAAACATCAAATTATCTTCTCCAGTAGTATGTCTTAGTAAAAAAAGGGAAAAACACGAACCTAATTACATATAAGTGGATCAATTACTTGAATTCAATTGCAAAATTTAGGATTTCATTTTCTGATCTCAGGGTAGTTAGTAAAACTCGCTGAAAAATTCCTAATAGGAATACCTATTTGGAACAATATATTTAATGGAAAAAAAATTTAGAATATGTATAAAAGTAGGAATAGAAAGTCAATCTGTTTGTAATCCGCGACACATAATGGTGGTGGGGGTGATTTTATGAACTACTCCTTCTGTTTGTAGTTAACTTTGAACTACTTACATTAGTGTACAGAAGTAGTATCTTATATATGTAAGAAATTGACAATATATCTACAAAATTCCTTCCAGAAAATGGCTCATTCATTTTTTGTACAAAATAAATCAAGTGCTCTACCACTTAGTCAGAGAACCACAATTTTGGGCCCAAGTATATTTTTCTTCTTATCCATGTAAAGTCGTGTTACAATTTGAAATGCTTTATTGTAGACAAATGAAGCATGCAAATCTTATCTCACTGAAGCTGCTTGGAAAGATAGCCAGTACATTCCTACCTTAGAGGAGCATTTGAAGGTCACGGGCGTTTCAACCTGTTACAAGGCTATGATTGGCCTTGCTTTTGTTACAATTGAAGAGAATCTTCCAGAGGAGATTCTACTGTGGATGTCGAAGTATCCTCAAATTATCAAGGACACATGTTGTATATGTCGCCTCATGGATGATATTGTTTGCCCGGTAATTTTCTGCATTGTATTTTGTAATACATGATGCAAGCACAATCATTCTCCTTTTACCCAATAGTCACTCGACCTAATACACCAATGTATGCAACATACATGAGGATCTAGATACCTAAATCAAATTATATGTTTGTTATGCTTGACTGTTCATGAAAATCTACGTGTTAGCTTTCCATGTATATAGAAATATAAAATGTACATGTCAAATTCAGAAGTTGTTAATCTTCATACAACTAGATTAAGGCAAGCTTAATAAAAATGGGTACATTGTTATTGCCTTACTTACAAACATAGACCACATGATATGGGACTGAGAGTTGTAGACTAACTTCCCTACAACTAAAAAAATGTATCACAGCAATAAATACTATACATTTCGTACCTAGCCTCCAAATCTCATGTTGGTCAAACACATTTAGTCCTTGAAGTAAGTGCTTAGACCTCATGGAGCCTCTGTTTTCACCTCTCTACAAGAAATTTTCATGTCAGGTACAACTTATACTAGACGTATTTTTTTGTCTATGTGATGTAAAATTACAACCATAAAAGCATGGCATAAAATACTCATATAGGTGTAATTTTTGTCGTTGTACTCTGTTATCTTGCATTTTCTTTTGTCAAATTTTGCGTTTTGAGTCAACATAAAAGTAATTATTTGTTTGTCAAACTTAAATTCTGAGTGTAACAACATAAAAAAACTAGGTGCAAAATAACTTATTCTGCACCCTAGGTGCTGAATATCATTCTTATATATTCAACACCCTACTCCTCAAAAAAGTTATTTAACACCCTGAATGAATAATAGTTATTACTCCATGCGTTCCAAAATGTAGTGCATATAGGTTTTCTAAAAAGTCAAACATTACAAACTTTGACCAAGTTTATAGAGAAAAATATGTATATCTACAATATCAAATATATACAATATGAAAGTATGTCTCTTGATGTATCTAAGGATATGTATTTGGTTTTCTAGATGTATATGTTTTTCTCTACAAACTTAGTCAAAGTTTGTAAAGTTTGACTTTTCAAAACTCCTATATGCATTATATTGTGGAACGGAGGGAGTATTATATATGAATGTTTTTCTATACTAACAGAAATATGTGCTCTCACCACTTAAGGCTATAACTATTCTACTTCCCTTACAAATAAATAGTAAGTTCAAAAAAAATATTAAGAGAAATGCAAAAAAAAGTATAAGAAGAAAAATAGTAAGATCAATAAAAATAGAAAGAATGTGCACAAAATCGTAACATCAATAAAATAGTACTTGGAACATAGAAAAGGTGTGTTAAAAAAACATAGAAAAGGTAAGCCACCAACGAAAGTCGTTAGTCCTTCCTAGGAGCTGACTAAATTATTCTAACCTTTAGATGTTAAATCTTATGTATATAAGACTCTTGTTCTAATAACAAACCTTGTGTAGAGTGAAGTAGAAGAGCATAATGTCGCCACTACAGTTGCCTGCTACATGAAAGAGTATGGGGCAACGAAAGAGGTCGCAACTGAAGCTCTTTGTAAGATTGTGGATGATGCGTGGATAGATATGAACAAGGAGTATCTCACATTGACATTGATACCATCATCGCTACTAATGATAGTAATTAACCATGCCCGGGTGATGGAGACCATGTACAAGAAGGAAGATGGATACAAGAACACATCAATTCTGAAAGAAGAAATATCTATGCTGCTTGAGAAGCCAATTCCTTTCTAGAACACCGTCCATGGTGCACTTTTCATATGGGGAGGCACATACCAGTGACGGAGATGGACCAGTCGGGCCACACCAAGAGTTCAGGTTTCACCCAGACAACCAGCCCATATGAGATACGTGTTGTATCTCTAGTTATCCCTAGTTAATAGTACTATTAGCTAGAGTAAGAATTTGGATATGGAAAGGTTTGTCCCGAAGAAGGTTTTCCTGCTGTTTCCAAATTATGTTATTGTTCTTTTTTCACTCCAAGTTGTAATTGGCCTTATAAGCCCTCGGTGAACACAAACAGTCCGATCGCCACAGAAGATACTTTGATGGTATTCATGAGCCTGAATCTGGTTTTTACTTTATGAAAACAATATTATGTCTGGTGCTATGCAAACTCTCAACTGACAGGGAAGAGGGGCCCAGCTTCCGTGGAAAATTTAGACTTCCTTTTTCATGCTGCGATCACATAAAATTGGCAATCTCACTGCCCCTTGTCGCAGTTGCGCCAAAGCGCCTATCCTAAACCTAAGCACGTCCACTCATAGATTTAATTTTTTTTCAAATTTGAGAAAAATTCCATGAGTTTCCGGAAAAAAACCAAAACAAATTCGCGAAAAAACGAAAATGTCTGTGAATTCAATAATTATCAAGGATCTTGAAAAAATGTTCAGATTTTTTTAAAAGAAGTTCTTTGCATATAAAAAAAGTTCATAAATTTTAAAAATAAAAAAGTTCATCAATATTCTTTAAAAAATATACTCCCTCCGTTCCTAAATACTTGTCTTTCTAGGCATTTCAACCAGTGACTACATACGGAGCAAGATGAGTGAATCTACACTCTAAAATATGTCTACATACATCCATATGTAGTAGTCATTTGAAATGTCTAGAAAGACAAATATTTAGGAACGGAGGGAGTAAAATATAAAAAAGTCCATCAATCTCGAAAAAAATCATCTTTTTTAAAAAAGTTCACCAAAATTATATTTTGAAAAAAAGTTCATTGAATTTTAAAAACTTGTTCATCGAAATTGAAAAAAGTTCATCAATTCTGATAAATAAATCATTGGTTGTAAAAAAATAAAAAAAATAAAAAAAAGAAACATGAATCAAAAAAGAAAAGAGCTAAAATCTACATGCCACCTCCATTGGACGAAGAGCTACCTCTCATCGCCCCTCCACCATGCCTAATCCTGCCAGTCGACCACCTCTACTTTGTCCACCTCTCTTCTCCTATGCACAATCCTTTCGGCTTCATCAAGCGCGCCATCGACGCCCATCGCGGAAACCCCTCGGTCGCAGTAACCTCGTCCGCCCACGGCGCTACTCTGCTCACCTTCCCGAGCCGCAACGTCCGCTGGAACGTCACCGGCCACGGCGACATCGAGTTCGAGGGGAACATGCTCTCGTTTGAGCGCGTGGAGCACACCGACAATCGTTCCATGGCCAACTTCCAAGACCTCATGGAGATCGAAGCAAATGATTTCCCCCGTGAGTTGTGGCATGAAGATGGCGTCAAATACTTCTTCGCACGCCTCGGCTCCGTCTCTACTCTCGAACAGTACTGTGTGTGTGCTGGCGACTTCGTGAGCGTTCGCGCTCTGGTGATGGTTACTCGAGGCAAGAAGCTGGAGTGTTTGACAAAAAACTACCACAATTGGGGTTCGTGTCCCACATAACTACCACTTTAAAAAAGTGACTGATAACTATCAAAAAATTGAAATCTCGTAACTAAAAACTATCATTTTTGAAAAATAGCCAGTTCAAACGATTTAAACGCGTTTATGATATGTGGGGCCTGTTTTTCAGGGCTGACGTGGTGGGACCATTAAGTTGACCGTTAAGATAGGTGGACCCCACACGTCAGCATCACCTTCTTCCTCTCTCTCTCTTTCTCTGTTTGCTATTTCAACAAGCACCTTATGTGCATCGGGTAGCACCACCGTGCCGATGCGTCAAGGCCGGTGAGCAGCGGCAGCCCGTGGCGCCGGTGAACAGCAGCATCCCATGGCGCCGGCGACCTTCTTCCTCCTCCTCCTGCTCCCTGTAGTGGGAATCCTATGAAGCTAGGCTCGCTGGAGCATGCCAACAGTCCCCGTTGCTAGCCTCACGGCCGAGAGCGGCGCGACCGGACGCCGAGCCCCACCGGCTTGTCCGACAGGTCCAGCTCCACGCCCATGGCGCGCGTCAGCTCCCCGTTGCCGTCCGAGAGCAGCAGCACCTTGTCGCATCAAGAAGGCGTCGTTGACGGAGACGCAGGCCACGACGTCCACCCCCTTGGCACGCAGCTCCCCGGCCTTGGCTACGAACCCCGGGAGGTGCCTCTGGGTGCAGGTGGGCGTGAACGCGCCCTGGACCGCGAACATGACCACATTCTTCCCCGCGATGAGGTCGCGGACCGTCACCGTCTTCAGCTCGCCGTCGGGGGAGTCGAAGTAGGAGAGCGCCGCGTCGGGGAGCCGGTTGCCGACCGTGATGGTCGTTGCAGCGGCCGGGGACGCGGTCGCGGAGGGGGCTCGCGGGCGCTAGGCGGCGGGAGGCGAAGGAGAGGGAGGAGGAGGGGGCGCGCGAGAGGAGGGCGTGCCTGGCCCCTGCGGCAGCGGCGGTGGCTGAGAGGGTGGTGCGGGTAAGGGGAAGGCAACGGGGAGTCGTCTTAAAAGGCGAGGACGGCCATGCCAACATCAATGGCAGTGGCGCACGAGCTCGTCACCGCCGGTGGTCTTCATGCACTCGCATGCGCGTGGTGCCAGTCGGTGGTGGTGCACGCCACCACCCGAGCCTGGGGCCAGAGTTCTACTTGTTCGCCGTTGTGCTGGCGGTGAAAAGAGCTGACGCCGGTGTGCTGCTCTGCTGCGGGTAAGGTGTTCGAGGAAATGCCAACAAAAAGAAGAAGAGGAGGAAGAAGAAGGTTGGTGCTGACGTGTGGGCCTCGCCTGTCATAACGGCTAACATGACAGTCAAAATAAACGGAGTTGACTTTCCTGCCACATCAGCCCTGACAGACGGCCCCGCATGTCATAAACACATTTAAATCTTCAAAACTGGCCATTTTTCGAAAGTGGTAGTTTTTAGTCACGAGATTTCAATTTTTTGATAGTTATTAGTCACTTTTTTAAAGTGATAGTTTCGTGAGACGCGAACTTTAATTGTGGTAGTTTTTTGTCAAGCACTCCAAGAGGCTGCCTCCTGGACTCGTCGTTCTTTCCGGGGCCACGACCTCATCACATTCTCCCTCACCCAACTCGACTTCCGCGCGCATGGGATCGGTCCGAACGACCCGTCCCCGTTCTCCTCCGACGATGGCAGCGATGCAAGCTCCAACGACAGCCACGCCTCTGCAGTCCGCGAGGCCACACTTCGGGAGTTCGCCGAGCGCGCAAGGGGACGAGGGCCGCATCCCTCGCCTTGATGCTTGCTGTGGAGACGTCACGGCGCCTCTGCTGCCTCCAAAGGCGCCACCTCCATGCCAACCTTCATCGCCATGCAACCTGGTGATGCTTTGCCGTCTTTGCTCATTCCTTCTCTCAAGCTCTCTCGGTCACTCCGTCGGTCGCCTTGGCCGATGCGGCCACACACTCTTCGTCGCCCTTCCTCATGCCCACGGATGGGGAGATGTCCATCTTCGTCGCCCTTCCTCACGCCGCTGCTAAGCTGCATCGTAGTGCGCGCATCACCGAACACGAGGCACCTTTCTACGTCCCGATGGCCACAAGGACGTCTCAAGCTAAGGCCGCCAAGTTTAACCTCTCCAAGGCCTCCGTCGATCTCGCTGCGGCTGTCCACGGCTCCTCCCTCTGCGACTCGGACGGGCATGACTCAGACGTGGACGAAGCAGCAGATAGGCTAGCGCAGATCGCTCTCATCTGCGGTGCTGACGCTGATGAGGCGGACGCCATACGTGCCGCAGGTGCTCTGCCGTCTCCATGATCATCACCAATTCACCACTTGAACCGCTTGGAGAGTGCGCCCTTGGGAAGGGTGCTTTTCGCTCGTTGCACCCGCAGCCGCACCCAGCTTAATTTCTTTCTGTAGTCTCCATATGTTTAGCCTCTCTGTTAGCATCGATAGGATAGTGTTTCGATGCTCTGCTCCTTCCCCCATGTATTTCCTTGCTACCTTCGTTCTCCTATCAGCGGTGTACCACTTTTTTTATGAATCAATCCAATTTCAGTATTTTATCATGGAACGTTCGCGGTCTCGGTGATGCTGATAAATGCAAAGATATTCTCTCTGAACTAATCACACTCAAACCCTCTGTCGCTCTACGTCAAGAATCCAAACTCGAGAACGTTTATGTCACCAAATTATACTCGTTCATGCCTCGATCCCTAGACCAAATCATCTCCCTCCCAGCCATCGGCATCCTATCCGCGGTCAACTCACACGCCCTAACCCTCCTTAGCCACTCACGCGGTCTCTTTACTACATCTCTAAATCTATCTTGTCCCACATACGGCACCCTCCTAACCGTATCCAATGTTTACGCCCCCTCTCAACGCTCGCTTAAAAGTTATTTCATTCAAGAGCTAAAAGATATCTCGCCTGACAGCTCAACTCATTGGCTTCTTATTAGCGATTTCAACCTCATCCGGTTTGCCTGCGAAAAAAATAATAACAATTTCCACTCCGCGGAAGCTGACATGTTCAACTCAGCTATTTCCGACCTACAACTCATCAAGCTCCCACTCCTCGACAAAAATTTCACCTGGTCCAACAACCGTTCAAACCCAACCCTGGAACGCATCAACAAAGCCTTCTTTAACCTAGCTTGGGAAAATAGCCTCCCTAACTTCACCCTCTCCTCCCTAACAAGATTCTCTTCCGACCACGTCCCGCTTATCGTCAACGTCTCTTCGCATATCCCTCGCCCCCGCCTCTTTCGTTTTGAATCCTTCTGGGTTGTTCACCCGGCTTGCAACCGCATCATTCGCCGCGCTTGCCCTATTACCCTGTCGTCTATCCCGTCGGACCTCGCCCTGGCCTCTGCTGTTAAGCGGACCAGAGCATGTCTC